CATTCAAGTCTCTGCTCCTCTTCGCTTGGGGTAGTGGTCATTCTCGACTTCCTCGCTCGATCTTCTAGGTACGACGCACTGTCCATAAGTCCTCGCTCGTCGTCTACGAGTCAGGCATCAATATAGGAGTGTAGACTGTTGTACTCACAACCTGGTTATTCATTCAAGTCTCTGCTCCTCTTCGCTTGGGGTAGTGGACATTCTCGACTTCCTTGCTCGATCTTCAGGACAACGTACTGTCCATAAGCCCTCACTCGTCATCTACAAGTCAGGCATCAATATAGGAGTATAGACTGTTGTATCACTGCCCTGCCCTGGGCCTAGGGTCCAGAAATGACCAGCCTATGGCCTAGTGCCTGAGCCTAGCTCCTACCTATAATGTCAGAATGATGTCATGGTCCAGACAGAGTCTGGTTTCTATCTAGAAAAGGTCCAGCATCAGAGTCCAGCCTGATGTGTCCAGAACAAGATCATGTGTCGCTTATTTAAGCGGATAACCCCTTAGATATGCAGATGTACCCATATGCGGACGGATAAGTCTGGATAAGTCCCTAGACCCTTCAATATGTCCGCAGAAATAGCGGAGAAATTAGGTAAAATTAGTAAAACTGTGACAGTTTGATAATGAGGTAAAATGCACCCAGAAATCAATTCTTTTGCATTCACTGGCTTATAGCCATGACCAAGGACCATGAGGGCTGCATCTTCAACAAAGGCATGGGTTCCTGCTGGAAGTGTAGACACAGTCTCACAAAATTCCCCCACAGTGACAGGTGTCTGTCCAATGGCTTTGAATATCTTGACATATCTTGATTGGACAGTTCAACTATTGTTATGACTTAGGGTCAAGTGACAAAGACAGAACAAACCTAGAGGCTGAGGGTGCTTAACTGGGTTGACCAAAGCAATGGTGAGTAAACTCAAACCTAAGGCTAGGAACAAAATAATATAGTAGTTAGTGAAGGTAAGTAAGAAGATACAGGAGCTTACTGACCTAGGGACAAGAGGTTGAAACTGAGGTCCCTAAGGTAGCAGAGGCCAGTTTATATACAGGTAAAGTTCAGGACTGGCTGTGCACACTGGCCTGTGCATAGCTGACCTGTGCACAGTGTTGCTATATCATAGCCACTGAGACAGCAGCCCAGTGAGTCAGAAAGGCTAAGTGAGTAGTGCTTGTGCTATGCCAGGCTGTGCCACACAGCCATCCAATACAATTGATTGAGGCAGCATGACCTGTTCATGTCAAGTGCTGCCCCATATAGTAAGGTTGCTGGTTCAAGCCCAGGAAAAGGGGAAAAAATAGTCTGTGACACTCGTGTCAACTCATGACAACTATGGTTGTTGATAACCACAGTTATATTGTTGTTGGCCTTACCAATGATGATAGTGTTGGCATTGTTGATGTTATCATTGTGTGTTGTTGTTGTCATCATCCAAGTCATTCAATTCAGCAGCATTGTTGTCCACTCAATTGTTGAGGCTTGGGCTGTTGCCAAAATCATCAGCTACAATGCATGGTCAAAGCTTTTAAAGCTCTTCATGTAGTCAATGACAGATGGCACAACTGTTGGGCAATGTAGTTGGAGAGAGTGATCAGGCACACCTGAGGTAGTTGACTAGGTCTACAACATTCTGGACAAGAATATGGTTGTCAGGAGGCGAGTTGGATGATAGAAAGGGCATGGTGGTCAAGAAGATAAAGGATGAAGAGCATACTCAGCTGCAGCATTGAGGGGGAGAAGGCAGGAGGGTTCAAAAGATCAACTGTATCTTCAGCCATTGTTGGTGGCACTGGTGTTCAAAATAGTGTGTGAAGGAGCAAAGCATGTGATAGGTGCTGTCCAGTGGTAGCTCAACCAAGGAGCACAGCTGTTAGCAGCACCAATATATCACACAATCTCTTAACAGGTATAGCCAATCTGCATGAAACATCTCAGCAAGGTATGATTTTAAATTGAGACAACACACCACACAATCTTTTACCAGATATATCCAATTCTGGTGCTGAACTTGACAGGCATTACTGGCAGGGTAGACCATGGATGTCATGAGTTGATATGTCACAGACTATGTTTCCTTTTTCCTTTTTCTTTCCTGAATTTGAACCAGCAACTTTGCTGTGTGGGGTAGTGCTTGACATGGACAGGTCACACTGCCTTAATCGATTAGATTAGATGGCTGTGTAGCACAGCCTGACATAGCACAAGCACTGCTTATGTAGCTGCTCTAACTTACCAGGCCACTACCTCAGCAACTGTGGCACAGCAATGCTGTGCATAGACCAGCTGCACACAGACCAGTGTGCACAGCTGGCCCTGAACCCTGCACATGTATAAACCTGCCTCTACTATCCTAGGGATTTCAGTTTCGACCTCTTGTTCCTAAGTCAGTAAGCCTTTGTATTTTCTTACTTACCTACTTACTAACTAATACATTTCTTGTCCCTAGTCTTAGGTTTGAGTTTACTCACCATTGCTTCAGTCAACCCAGCCAAACACCCCCAGCCTTCAGGTTTGTTCTTCCCCTATCACTTGACCCTAAGTTGCCACAGTGGACAACTGAAATGGTGAATGAGATGAAAACTTCAAAACACACTCAGTAGACAGTTGACCCAACTAGCTATGTTATCACATGATAACAAGTAGTAATGCCCCTAGGTTAACCCTGGCACAGGTTGCACATTGTTTGCCCTTAGAGGTTGAACTCAGTTCCAAATTGATCAATTGCACTGGGGTTACAAGTTTTTATACCTAGGACAAATTCTAATTTGTCAGTTGTACATTACAAGCACATTTAACCTCATGTCAATTGAGCTTCTGGCAGTGTGCACTGCTTTCGTACTCGGGAGCCCATCACAACTTGAAGAAGCCCACGAAGTTTCTTGGCTTGTCGGGGCATATATCGAACCCAAAAAAGGTCGACCAACCGGGGATTCGAACCCCGAATCTTCAGCTGATTTCTGGGAATCACGTGACCCAAATCCGGAAACTGACGCCTTAACCATTAGGCCAGCCGGCCGTTACGAATGCACATTATATTCTCAAACAATGGCGCAAAAAGGAGGAGAAATGAGCGAGAAACGAGCGAGATTCGAGGTGGCAGAGCAGGAGGACTTGTCGCGAGACCTGTCAATCGGAGTTCACATCGGGCAGACCTTGACAGGTGGGCAGGCAGCTGGGAGGCTTCTCGCGATCACAGGCGGGCGACGTCATGCCTATGGTCATCGCGAGCGGTGGGGTCGGCAGCAAGATGCGCCTCTTCCCATTCCGAGGAGGTGGCTTTCCATATCGAGGGCCGCTACCACCAGGTGACGTCCTCCAAGATGTAATGACGTCTCGCTGCATCCACCTGCGTTGTGTATATAAAGTGCCATGTATGGCTTTTCTCCTTGATTCGCCCACTCTGACATCTACATATACCGCACCATCATCATGCCAGTCAATTCGTCGCAGAGCCGCGGTCCATACAACCTTCCTCCCAGAGAACGCGACATCGACAACCTCACATACAACCCGCAGGCGGACTCGCGCTCTGACAACGCCGCGTTCGATGACACCGACCCTTCCTTCCGGCCGGTTGGTGCACGCGGTGCTGATGACCAGCCTCCCTACCGCAATGCGGGCAGGGAGGACCTCGATGCGGAGCGTTCAGACCAGACCGGCCAGATCCCGCGGGGTGGGCAGCCGTTAGCGATCCTGCGCAGTACCATTGTTGCTGACTTTGACCGCAGGTGAGGTCGACGACCTTCTCGGTAGCTTGACCGAGGAAGAGAGGAACGTCGGCGGTAGGACTAGAGGCAAGAAGGTCGATGCCTATAAGCAAGAGCGCGGCATTGACGAGGATCTCGACGCGAGCGGCATCTCCAGCGCCGATCAAGATGTCGAAATTGGCGCAGCCACTGGCCGCTGAGGGCGAAGGATCGAGAAACATTAATATGTGTAATTGTACACCTGTATTACAGCAAAAGGCAATCACGATAGACCTCGCAAAAGTTACAGATAGGCGGCATGGAACTTAACGCAGATTACTCGGCACCTCGGGGTGACGTTCTCAAAGATTTCGAGCCAGATAGGTGTTGTTCGGGTATTCGTGCGTCGTCGCCTTCTGTGTCCGGAAGCAATGGCAGACAGCAACGAACTCTGCACCTTATGACGCAAGGCCGGTATCTTCCTCAATATGAGTAGACATGTAAACAACGAGTTTGAGCAGGATGGACGTAACGTCGATTACCGACCATGACGGCGAGAGGGCGAGGAGATTACAGCGTCCCGATAATTTTTGGGTGGCCTATCTCTGATTCGCCGCCCATCGCGGTCTCTGCGGTGTGCAAGCACCGTGTGCACCGTCGCCAATGCCTGCCGTGAGCTTTTCCCCACCTGCCCCAATGTATAATCTGCGAGGTGAGGTCTAATATCATAATTGATTTTGCTGTAACGCATGGTCTGCATATTCTGTTATATGGCAGGTGCTCAGCGTTATGTCTATTGGAACCTCCGTTGTAGAGGATGTGACATACATATACGGCGCTCACACGGTCCGGTCGCGAACCGTAGCTTTGGATCAGTAGTACTGGCATAGCACTGTACATACCTACGGCAATCTGAATACTGAGAGACCGCTGTTACCGCCGCACACTCGCAGCTCAGACGGAGAAAACACATGCCGAACCCACATACCAGAGCTTCGTTATGATACCCTAAAGTGGTATCCATTGGAGACAAACAGGTGGGGTTTGTCAAGTTGCCCGCTCCCTTCCTGCTCTTTCATCGCATCTCGCGCTGTGGTAGGGCCAAGTGGTTCACTGGCAAAATCCGCAGGAAGACGACTTGCAAGCGCGGGTCGCGCGCTTCGTGTTCGGAACCATGATCGCTCCATCTCGGTCTCCCTCGCTGGACCACCTCGTCAACCTCGCACCTCCCGAACAACTACGCAATGCATTCCATGGCTAAACGACGACAGTGCGCATCAAGCAGGAATCGGCGCAGCATATCGTGCGAAGATCAAGACAATAAGATAAGACACGCGCGTGAGGCGTGTAGGGTCGGCAGAAACATTGGTTGTTCGTTTTCTCTCTCTCTTCACCCTGTACCCTCCGTTCTGGACGGCCTGAGCGACGCAGATTGCGCGCGGGACATAGGGTCGAGCGCGTGATCGTGCCTCCTCCGCTTGTTGGGGGGAGCAACGCGTTCGTAAATAGAGTCGAGACTCGTCACGCTGACTCCCCGAACAATAGCCGCGATTGCATGATGTTTAGCGATGGTACTGTTCCTTCCCGGGCACACCACGACTGAAATGC